GGGAAGGGAAGGCTGTTCCCTCTCCAATGCTGTTTTAATTAGACAACACTGCTTTTCTGTCTGAGCGTACCTTAATTATACGGTTACCTGCAACACAGGCAGGCGCTTTAGACAGCCCTGGCTGAACTTGTTTAGCTGATTAGAGCAGCAGGACCGCAGGGTGCAGAGGCGACTGCGTTCGGGGCAGAACGGAGCGGGCTCTGAGGTTTAGCAGACCAAACTATAAGGAGGTGCGATGGCTGGGCGCCGGTGCCGTGTCAGAATCCAAGTGCGAGCTTTTAGCATGCTCAGGCAGGAACGCACCGGGCAGCTTATCCCACAGCAGGTGGTTTCCATCCCTGAATTTGTAACGTTGAAGGATGGAGAGGCTTCCTAAATTGAAATTAATACAGAGAAATTCTTCTGACCTACTTTCTGCTGTGCAGGAGGTCAGTGGTTGCCCCTGGATTTCTGCCCTATAAAAATGCCCAGTGCACGCACGTTGGTGTATCCAGGCTCAGCAGTCACTGGGAGAAGCCACTTCTTGGGACAAAACGTTGGTTCTCCCAGAATTACAAATTTGAGAGGAAAAGCCAGTGCCTGAAGCCGCTCAGGTAGGACTGAGCAGGTTTGCAAGGCAAAGTCTCAAACAGACCTTCCAAAAATGTACACCTGAATTTCCTGCTAATAAAGTTATTGATCTCCCAGTCCCGGGGCTATTCTCCGGGGCGGGAGACTCAGCAGACGGCATCTCATAACGCGCCGGCTCCACAAGCCAAGATGGCTTTGAAGATGAGAGCAGCGACAGCCATTGCGTACGTGCGTCGCACACCCACAGCCCACCAAGCGGGAAAGTACTCCCGTTTGCGATCCCTGAGCACAAGCACAACCAGTGCAGTTGGTTTGTTACTCCGCGACGTAGGAGTTTTTTGTGACTCCTACAAAAGGCGCAAGTTTCTCTGTTGGCCTTCATGAAAACAAGATTAAATTTACTATAAAATTAAGTGCTGCTGCCGATGATTTTGCCTGGCCTCTGATTCATCTACCAAGATAAAACCACACAGAGTGTTCAGCGCAGGGTGGCAAGAAGAAAGTCTATGAAACTACCAAAAGCGTATTTGCAAGAAACCAGGAGAAGCACTGCAAGCTGATTTCCATCAGTGACTGCGAACATGGCTGCAGCAAACGCAGCTCGGGCACCCTGGGGAGTCGTACTGAAAAAAAGGCCCAAGAAGCAGAAGTAGATCTCTCTCTTTTCTTTTCAGTTATGAAAAGTGAAAGCCCCATCACAGTTAGTCAACAACCCTGAACCTGCCCTAGACCATGGGATGCAATTACTGAATTTTAAGACTATTTCAAACATGGAGCAGGCGCGAGATCTCACCCACTTCATTTGCATTTCTGCAGTGGGAGGGAGAGATTTCATGGTCAAACTCCTCTGGAGGCATTTCATTTAGAAAGGACCAACTATATTTCTAAACACCAGACCCAAACATCACAAAATTTGGATGCACGCTTCTAATTACAGTCCTGATCACTACTCCTATGCTGGAGTGGGTTCTGAGAAAATATGATGTTAAAACCTTAAGGTAAGTGACCTGCCTGCTCACACCGCGTGGCTTTGGTCAAGGTTGACATCATTTCAGCATTTTTCTTTCTTCCCGCCCTTCCGCGATTGCTGGAAATGCACTCACTTGGGCAGAGAAACGCACCTCTAAGCAGAAGTTGAGAACCTGCTTTTCTGCAGAGCTGAGCCGCAGCAGGACACCAGCGCAGACCTCGGTGCTGCAGTTATGGGAAGGCAGATTCCAAAATACAGGACGGGCGTATTAACGAGATACATGTTTTCTCGAGAATTTACCATAGTGGTTTTCTTGCCACAAATTGAGTAGTTTTACATAATTTCAGGTTTACAGAGGACAGCGTTTCAATAACCACACTATTTCAAGTCTCCTCACCTGCAGCCAGGAGCTCAGCAGTTCCCCAAAAGCCGTTCCACACACCAGCAAAAACTCTAGTTGCCCTCCCCATAAGACAACTGGACATTTTCCTGTTGAAAAAACCCAATGCCCCACATCTCTGAACTCAGTAATTCATTCACCACGGCAGCAATCGGTTCCCACTCAAGCTCTAGATTCAAGCCACGGGCCCCCAGCAGCACTGCCAAGCTCAAGCACCTTTTCTTCTTTTTTAAGCCCAGATGCTTCCAGAGCCCAAAGCAGCAAGCGGCGCAAAGCCTGCAGCCAACTGAGTTTAACTCAGCTGATGCTTCCCCACTGCAGCGTTAGGAGTAGGAATCCTGCCTGTCCAGTCTAGCTAGCTGCAACAGCATCTCCGACTACGCTGCGATTTCTATATAGATCAGGGGTTTTGAAAAGTATTTTTCAACCCCTGGTTTAGTTGCAGATACCCAAGTTTTCCAGGCAAGAAAGCAAACGCTACTTACTTTGCAGAAACTCAAAAGCCAGTGAGCGCGAAGAGCCGGGATCCGATCATGCTCTCTTCCTTGCCAGCCAACCTGGAGAATTTCGTTTCTTTTATTCCGCAGAGTTATTCCTAATTAGGAATTCCAGAACATTTCAAACATCTTGATCTGAGCTCTCCCACTCCTCTTTAGCTCCTTCCAGAGCAGACAGCTCGGAGCAGATACCATGCAGCACACACCACAGCTCGCTTCCTGGCCTGCAGAGGTGGTTGCTTCACCCAATGGTAGGCTGGGTTTCTCCCCGCCTTGGCTGCGAGCGGTGCTGCAGACGGGCTCTGCGGGCACCCGGCACACAAGAGCACCCTCTGCAGCGCTCCGCTTCCCACCGAGCTGGTTTTAGTGCCAGCTCTCTATCCGCAGGGGAATATAAGGAAAGATTGGGTCGCCACAGATCATCATTACCTTGCAAATGAGCAACGCCTTACAAGGACAGAGGCGAAAAAATAAAAACCAACTTTATTCACCAGGGATGTGAACTGTCTTGGGTGGGAGGCAGCAGCCATTCGAATGCGAGTCTGGCAATTAAGGCTGTGGAACTCCCAAGGAAGGGTCAAAATATGACTTAGCTGAGACACAGGGCTAATACACCCAATTCTTAAAGAGATGATGATGTGAAATAGTGTCAGAGCACAAAACAAACCCAAGAAATTTCTCCGTCCAGCTCAGCTCACCAGTCATGGCCACTTCAGCATGCACCCATGCTAAGCTGGGCACATTAATCCTTGTCACCACTCAACGCTTGAGTGTGGGGAACAGTCAGTCATCTGTGAGGGAAGGGCACTGAGCAACCATTGTTAAACCCTTGAGTTAAGCCCAGTGCGTAGAGGACACAAATTCAGAATAACGAAGATAGTACGGCCAATTTAGTTAGAAAGCAATGGATGCTGAAGTGCTCAAGGCGGCCCACACCACCTTTCACATCCACATGGTGGCCACTACAGCAGGATCCAAGTGCTTTCCAAGAGGAAGGGTCACTCGGACAGGTGACCTGACAACGTTCATCTTGTTTATTTTTGCTGTCGCTGTGTGTTCCGAGGTGTGTCTGCAGTAATGCTAAATCCCACATGACTTGAACAACTCTGATCGTATCTCCTTCAGCCTCAGATTTTCTGGTTAGTTTGGCAGCCTGACCCTACAAGTAGGTGCAGCCTGGCTCAGGCTGACAGCTTTCTAAGTTTCTTAGGAACAGATTAAAAAAATGGTACTAAAGGAGCAAAACTTTTCATTAGAAAAACAACTCAGAATAAAAGGAAATTGATTTCTTAAATTAAGAAAAAACCGTGTCCTTTACTGGCATCAAATTGCAAATAATTTTTTCTTTTTAAAAAAGCAAGTTTCTTAGGAACAGATTAAAAAAATGGTACTAAAGGAGCAAAACTTTTCATTAGAAAAACAACTCACAGAATAAAAGGAAAGTGATTTCTTAAATTAAGAAAAAAATCCATGTCCTTAAGATACTGGCATCAAATTGCAAATAATTTTTTTTTTTTAAAAAAAAGCAACTACAATGCACAAGTCCCACCAGAAACAGAGTCTGATGAAACCATCATCTCCTCCGGGGCAAGGACTGGCTGCTGCCAACACAGAATATAACCTAGGGGAGAAGATATCCTTCCTGTCCAAAGACTCTCCGTGCTGCAGGGAAGGGCGCTTCGCTTGCTTGGCCTGCTTCCAGCAGAGCCTGAAGCTCTCCCTCTGACAGGGCTGCACGCTGGGCACATACAGACCTCCTGATCTTTGTGCGCATCTGGGGCCCAGTCCGACCTGCGTCTGGGTCCTGAGGTTTCTTAATAAAAGGACTCGTGTTCAGCGAGCCACCTGGACAGAAAAACTGAAGTAATGATGGCAAAAATCACAAGATTCCCTGTGGAGTTGTTCCTAGCTAGGAGGTGTGAAAATCCGTTACTCTGCTCTCTTATTCCCCCAGCTTTGGCACTCTACTTGTGGAACCACGCAGCTTTCCATGCCAAGCCACTGAGTGAGGCTATAGGATGTCCTAGGGATACTCTTACAGTCAAACTGATGAAATATGATGCTTGAGGCCACTAGTACCCACCTCCAAGCTGCCAGTCTTCTATCTATTCATTACACTAGGGCTACAAGGAACTGCTCCCAAAAAACCTGAGCTCTCAGGTAAATCCCGTAGCAAAAAACCAGAAGGTAGACAGAAGCTGAAGCAATTTGCCTTTGCTGTTTTCACCCATCAGAAGCCTTTTCTGCTTCACCAGAATGTGCTCGGGATCCTGCCGCCACTGGTGTTTGTCAGTTGGCTGCAAACCCAAGCCACAGTTGATGGCAGGATGTGGGGCTTTCAAAGCCCCTCCTCAGCTGGTTTGTAGCCAGCAATGTCATCACCCGAGTAGCTACAGACTCTGGATGGAGGTGCTACCGCGGTGATAACAGAGGAAAGAAGTGTGTAAGAGAGCAGAGAATCATATTTCTTGTAGCTGGTCCTTACACAAGGCTCAGGCTTACTGAATGCTTTCAGGGCTGGAGAGATGGGTACTCCTCCCCCTCGCAGCAGAGCTCAGAAGCATCTAGTTTTAGAAACTGCTGCTTTTCAGCCCCGTTTTCGGGGGCCTGAGGCCCAGAGGAGCAGGATGGCTCACCGAGGCTCTGAGGCCATGAGCACTGGGGCTGGCTAGAAGGACAATCACTGCAGTCAAACGCCTTTCTCAGACTAGAACTCGGTCATCTTCTTGTGCGTGTCTGCTTTCTTCTGCTCCCGCTGCAGACTGGCTTCCTGGGCCTGCAGCTGCCCCAGCTGTTTGTGCGCATTAGCCAGCTTCTCCTCCAGCTGAGCTGTGGCAATGCTGTGCCTGAAAGCAAAAAGCGTTATGTGAATGTCATCCTGCATGACAGAATCAAAGGCTTGTCACCATCCCAGGAGGGTTTGCCCTTTCCTGCGGGATTAGCGCAAGTGACCTGCTGAAAGCCAGGAAGAACCTGATGCTCAGCACCATCTGGGCTAGAAAATGTCCTCTTGTGATGCCCAACAGCAACGCTGCAGAGACTGGCACGAGAAGGAAAGGTCCCCAGTACCCTTCCTCAGAGAGCTCCTCTCTCTGCCACAGCCTGAATTCCAGCCAAGGGACCCCAGACACATCTGCCAGTGTCCAAGCTGATCTGAAGCACACGCTAAAGTCTCTCTCCTCCACTTCCCCTTAGGTCTTGTCCAGATACGTTTCACTTATTCCTCCTATACCTCATTTCAAGCCCACCCCTTCTCAGAAGCACCAAGAATTCTCAGTTCATCCTGCAGTCCCAAAGAGAACGTTTTCCTACCGTCCAATGTTGCGTGCCAGGGCCTGCTGGATTCCTCTGATATCCTTCTGCGTTTGTTCAATCTTCTCCATTGTCTGGAAGAGGCGGACGCTCAGGGCTTTCTTGGTGCTCTTGCTAGCGTGGTAGATCTCTTTGCTGTTCCTCTCCGGCAGCGCCATCCCTCCAGCCTTCTCCCCAGTGCTCTTCCCTCGCAGTTTCTCATTTAAAAAGTCAAACACATTGCGGGGAGGCTTACGACTGCCTGCAGGGGACTGTCCAGAGCTGCTTCCCTTTGCTCGACATTTCCTTGATTTGCCTGGGTCCAGCTTCCCCTGTTTCTTCTTCTGAAGCACCTCAGCACACTGGTCGAGGGACTTCCCTCGAGGAAGTACCACAGCCTGCACTGGCTCCACTCGGCCCTCAGAATTCTTCCCTAACCCTGAGGAGAGATGCCAAACGATTACTGCAAGCAAGGACATCCCCACTCCGAGTTGCCTCCCACCACACGCTGATGCTGACAGTCACAAGCTTGGAACAAGCACACAGGCTTTTGAGGTACAAAAAGCCGTAACTACCACCCAAGTCAAGGCGGGCAGCAAAGGCCATAGCACAGTGGATGCAGATGCTACGACAGGAGCCTTCTACAGCAGAAGATATGTGGTAAAAAGCCCGAGGCCATCCATCAGGCTGGTTTCTGTGAAACTAGGTTCAGCCTCCCATTCTCAGCTTCTCAAGTCAGGTTCTTAAAACTGGTTTGGTTCTTCTGGGAGAACTAGAGACTAATGCAAGTAGCAGACTGCTCTCCTAAAGCCCCCAAGGCTCAATACGCTTTGTGTAGTGAGAAGCTAGTTGAGCAGGCTTTGAAGTCTGCGTCTAGAGCAGCAGATGCTTTAACACAGACATCAGAAGCTTCATAGATCAGTTCCCTTCTACCTAAAGCCTTTGAACATCTCATACAATAGTTCTCACGGCTTTAATCATGAACTTGACCATGGTTCCAAATGCCTCCGATTTTTGCTGTTACCATACAGGGATTGGTGCACACACCTGCCTGTACTTCGACTAAATAAGTTGTCCCTTCTTGCCTTCTAACACAGCTGTGATTCATCACAGAGCTTGAGCCTTATCTAACAGGCCCTTCAGCTGAGAAAACTTTTAGCTTCATCCAAAACCTTGTTTTTCTTAACTAGCTTTAGGATCTGTTGAGGCAGTCCGGCTCTCACAGCACCAGGACTGCCTTCTCCCCTTACCTTTTCCAAACTCATATCCCATCTGAACAAGCAGTTTGGAGCCAATACCACGGGTATGGGCTTCCCAGCCACCAAAAGAGGAACTGCACGCAGGAGTCCATTCCCCGTTCTCTGGAACTCCTGAGTCTATCACTGTGGCACAGAAGAGAAGAATCAGTGAAACACAGAAACAAAGCTGCTATGCTAAACCTTCATCTGGCGCACCCACACAGCATGAAAACCCCTCATGAGGCAGTACAATATACTTCTCCCACCCCAGAATCATTCGGCCGCTCCTCCAGCCTTAGTTAGTACCTATTGAGCTGTCACCTTTTATGAACACTGCACAGCGAGTCACTTAGATGAGAGATCTCACTTGACTTAATGCACATCCCATCTCACAGTTCCAGGCAGAATCATCCAGAAGTTTTTATACTTCCCTTCCATCCTTCTAGGATGGTGACGCAGACTGACATAACATTAGAGTAAAATTTGGCCCAGTGGCATGTCATACTTACTCTGTGCCTCCAGCTCATGTCTCTGGTATGAGGTTCCTCTAGGCCATAATGCCAATTTTGTGTTCTTAGGATCCAATCACCTCTATTAGGCTAAATATAAGGAGCTCTAGGACACAATTTTGTCCCTGTGATGTAACTGTGGCACTAGCACAGGGACAGTGCTGTCTGCGTAATCTCAAAGAAGTCACTTGGCCTCCCTCTGTGTCAGCTTTCAACAGTAAAACAGGGCATGGCTGTTCCTGCGACTTCATCGAGGCACTGGACAGACCAAACACTCGCAATTACTGGGGTCTCGTACTCTTGTGTCATGAAGCTACGCGGAGCTCCCACAGATGAGGAAGTCTCCTGATTCACCTATTAGCTCCATTCCACCAGCCACATAAGAAACAGACTCAGAGCTTGGAACTCATCTCTAAAATATCACATCCTCTTCTTTCATGTGTTGGAAGTTCCCATGGAAACCTCCAACCTTCATTAGCCCAGTAATTTGCATAAAACAAAGATTTTAGTTTGCAGTTTTAACATAATAGCTAATTACCGTTCTCTATCTTTCAGCAACATACAAAGAGATTAGCTACTCTTTCATCTGAGGTGAGACATTTGTAATGAAAGCTCCAGGAGAGCAATTCAGCAGGTCCCAGAGAAAGGCAGACCTAGATCACAAGCTGCTTTTGCTCACACCATCCCCACTCTCTTACTTTTAGCATAACCAGAATCATCAACACTGTCTTCATCAGACTCAGATTCGGCACCATCGTCACTTCGCAGTGGGGGAATGACACTATCTCCTTCCACAACAGCTTCCTTGAGCAGCAGGGAATCAAACTTCACAGTGTAGTAACCACTGTCAATGTCTACAGAAGGAGAAGCAAGGACAAAGTTCTGGTAAGTCTCTGATATGCAACAGCAGAGGGCTTTCTAAAACAGTCAGCTCTGGTGGAATGACACAGGAGAGGGGGAAGGCCCACAGAACACGTGTTTTAAAAAATTCTGGTTTTTCTTTGGGGTTTAGATTTCCATCTGAGAGGGAGAAGCACCCACTGCAATGAAAAGCTATTTCCACAATGCCTGGGTTGATACTTAAAGGTTTGTTTCTAAAAATGAAGAAATATGGGCTGTTGAGAAATTGAATTAATGAGATGTTAGACTTGCTCCCTTCTGACCTAATAATAGTCAAAGAAAGATGAAAAGAGAGAACACACCCTCACTCTTCCCAGGACATGGGGAAGCCTGTATCAGCAGGTGATGGGCAGGGCCAGCTCCCCTGGTTTTTGTTTAAACAAGAGCGGATTACTGCAATTCTAACCTACTATGCATGCAAATTCCTGCAATACCTGCCTCCTCCCTTTTGGGGCAGTTAATGACCACGTGGTCCTTTCCCTTCCACA